AGATGCTGCAGTCCAGCTCGCCCAGCTCCGGGACCGAGGGCACCCTCATCAGGAGCTGCATGGTGGCCGCGGCTGACTCGAGCGCGGCGTCGCTAAGGCTTGGTGCACCGAGACCGAGGGAGCGCGCGCCCTCCTTTGCTTGGGTCTGGTAGTGGGGCGGGGGCCGCGGCCTCTTTCCCCATTTAATAGGAGGACCCCGCCCCCTCGGGGCGTCACCCCGGCCTGAGGCCGCTCCCCCTTGGTGACACGCGTGGGGGCGATGAAGGTGTGAGGCCCGGAATGCCAGGGATGGAGAGGCGGTGCGAGTGCTGGATGCCACCAGGACTGGGGGCATGAGGGTAGGCCACCCATAGCTCCCTCTGTGCCTGTGCATCAGTAGCACACCACCAAAGCCCCTCCACCACGTCTCCATCTTCAGATCATTTCCTGCACCCCAACCCTCCAGCTGCAGGTCTCAGAAGCCCTCTGGACCAGTTCATTGAGTTGCCCACCTTCTCTCAGAAGCCCATCTGAAAGGACTCCCCAAGCCTGTGGCACTGCCCATTCTGCCCTTGGACATTTGGACAAATGCTGCCGTTCAGTAACTTATTCTTCGAACCTCCCTTTGGTTTTCCAAATTCCACACCCCCTCAGGCTGCTCAAGTCCCAGCTTAATCTAGGAGAACCTAGATTCCAGGACCTTGGCCTGAGGAATGCTGGGAATCCTTTCCTTCCGGAATAGCCAGGCCTGGACACCCACACACCATGATGGCTCCTCCTGCAAAGCCGCCCAACATGAGGTGTGACTCAGGGGTCTGACCTTCCCCACAGGTAAACAGGACATGGTTCTCACAATCTGCATTCCCTTGTGACACCACACCCAGACCTAGCTGCCTCCTAGTCCTCCTGCTCTGGGCCTGCGAGTTCAGCTTCTCTTGGGGAGCGTAATAGAACAGAAGCTGGGGTCAGCTGGCTCCAGTCCAAATGTTAGTTTCACCACTCTCCTAGTTGTGAAATTTTGGACGAGTTACTTAACTTCTCTAAACCTTGGCTTCCTTATCTATAAAATGTAGATAATAATAGTGAGGACTGAATGAACTGATGCATGCCAGGTGCTGGGAATAGTACCAGGCACCCGGTAAACACCTCTTTTTTATTAGCTATTATTATCCTGTGCCGCAGCCTTAATTGTGTTTGCTTTAATTTCTCAACACAATCCCAATCTCCATCTCTCCTGGTCAATACATAGGAGCTTCTCTACATCCATGGCATTTGCTGGTTATACTAGGCAAAGTAGACCTTGTTTTATTTTTAACTAAATTGCTAGAAACTCCAAAAACCGAACCAAACTCACTGCCATCAAGCGAATTCCGACCCAGATGATCTCCTGAGAACAGAAGAACTGCTCCTTTGCCTTTCTGAGAATTTAGATCTTTACGGAAGTTGCCGGCCTCATCTTTCTCCCAACGGAGCGACTGGTGCGTTCAAACCACTGACCTTGTAGTGTTAGAACCTAGAGGGTAATAGTGTGTTAGGAGGTGTACCGTGAGAGAAAAAGTATTTGTAAACAAACATTGAGGAACTTCAGGGTTGCCTTCAGTCAGTTGGGGAAGCTAGCAATTCCAGTGATACTCTCAAAATTAAAAACTTCTTTGAAACTTCTCTTTAGAATGACGTTCAAAGGTCTTCCATCTCTTAATATTTGGTAAATATTTTTCTCAAGTTAGATTTGATTATATAAATGCCCCCAAAGAGTGTGACAACCACGGACCTTCCAAGCGTTCAAACCTGCACATCCAGTAGCCTGTCTGCCACCCATCACTTGTTTGTGTCCAAACAAACCCCTCTTTCGGTGTTTTCTGTCCCGTTCTTTGACCAGCTCTAGACGCCTAGATGTCACCCTTGACCCTGCCACTTGCCCTGGTCTTCCTTTCCCAACTTACCACCAAGATTTGTTCATTATATCTAAATACCTTTTCATTCACTTACTTCTCTCCATCGCTAGTACACCACCCCTGCCCCGGCTGCCCTTATCTCTTGTTTGCACTCCAGCAGGGGCTTCCTGGTCAGTCACCTCCCAGCCACTCTGGCTTTCTGGAGGCTTCTCTCCCCGCTTCGTACAAGTGACCTACCAAATTTCAAGCCCAACCAGGTCCTACCACACATCTCTTCTACTCTTGACCATTGTGTTTGATGGTAGTTTGTTTCATGCCCCCAGATTCCTTTGCAATGTATCTTTGCTACTGCTCTCATTAAGAAACCGAGTTCTTGCCCCCTATTTCTTGAATCTAGGAGCTCTGGTGCCATAGTAGTTACTTGTTGGGCTGCTAACCAAGAGGTCCACAGTTCAAAACCGCCAGCCACTCTGAGGGAGAAAGATGGGGTTTTCTACTGCTGTGGAAAGGTACAGTCTCAGAAACTCACCATTCTACCCTGCCCCATAGGGTTGCTGTGAGTTGGCATCAACTTGATGACAGTGAGTGAGTTTGAGCCCTTGAATGTGGGCCGGCCTGATGAGTTGGGCGTCCATAGAATGTGGCAGAAGCAATGTCGGTGAGGTCTGGCACTGCAGAGACCTTTGCCCTCTTTGAGTGCTACTCTGAGCCCATGTAAGGGAAGATGTCGTTATGTGACAGAGAGGCCACATGGAGAACTAAGGAATTCCAGCCAATAGCCAGCACTAACTGTCAGGCATGAGAGTGAGGTCACCTTGGATGGGTCAGCTCAACTCATCTTCCACGGGAACAAAGCCACACGAGTGAGCCTGGGGATGAACACAGCAGAGGAACCTCCCGCTCAGCCCACAGAATCAAAAATTAAAGTTTAAAAAAGAACAAGGTCATGTTTTAAGCCACCAGGTTTGGGAGTGATTTCTTGTATAGCTATAGATAAACTTTATTGTGTTCAGGATAAAGGTGTTGTCTGCTAGCCGTGTAGGTTGTGAACCCACCTGTGTTTTACAGTCCACTTCCATCCTCTCTCTAGTCCGGCTGACTTGAGAGACCCCTGGTGGGCAGGGTCCTCTGTGCCACATAACGTTGGGCCTCACAAGCCCGTTTTCTGCTAAGCAACACACAGCTCATCCTTCAGCCCCCACTGCTGCCTCAGCGTGGCAGATACCCACCCCAGACTCTGGAAGCACCGTGGCCTTGGACACGTGGTGTGTTAGAACCCTGTACATGAGACAGGTGATTCTTGACGGTCTCTCCCATCAGGAAGCGTCTCAAAGGACATCCTGAGTCTAGCATGTTCACTAGACTCTTCTCCGGGTACAGAGTCTAGGGTACTAGGAGTCAATAGACATATTATTGAAACTAGTGAATGAATAAGGTGACTGATAACCATAGCAATTTTTTTTGGGGGGGGGGGAACAAATGTAGCATTAAAGGAAGGATTTGAACAAGTGCTTTTAAAACTACCTCAGAAGGTAATTCTAAGGGTTTTTTATCTCTTGAGGAGCGGGGGAGACAGTGACTACAATGAGTGCATAATCCAAGGTGACTATTTCAGGACAATACTATTTTCGATTTGTAAATTCTTACACGTTTGCCACAGAACTAATCATAGTTTAGTCACACATTTTACTTCTTTGTGTTCCTCCACCGTCTTCCAAAGGGAGTGGGCGATGATAAGGGCGGATGGAACTACTCATTAGTTGATCCTGTTGGATGCTAACCTAGTAAATGGCATGCTGCTGACTTTCTGGTGGGTTTTTTTAAAACTTATTTTACCCTGCTCTCAGCTTTAGGATCAAGGAAGGGTGAGGAGGGGTAGAAGGAAGAAGGTGAGGGTGTAAGTAAAGGCTAACTAACAGTTCTCTGCTGCCTTGAGATCTTTAAAGATTGTAACTTATTCCACCCACTTTCCGTCCCAGGGAAATCAAATGTTCTTTAAGGAAGAAGAGCCCAAATCACTCAAACCCACAGCTCGGTGGATTAATTCCAAGGACTCGGAGTCATGGAATATAGGACCTAGTTGAGAGCCCTGCTCCTCATGGTTTCTGGGGCTGTCAATCTACAGAAGCTGACCGCCTCATTGTTCTGTGCAGCAGTTGGTGGGTTTGAACTGCCCACCTTCCTCTTAGCAGCCGTCCCATTTGCCATGGGACGGACTCAGATTCCTGGCAGCCCATGTGTGTCAGGGTGGAAGTGTACTCCATACGGTTTCACTGGCTGCTGCTTCAGATGTCCATTGCCGGGCCTTTCTTCTAAATCACTTCTGGGGAGACTTCAACTGCTCATCTTTTGGCTAGTAGCCAACTGTGTACACCGGGGAACCCTTCAGAGAATCCACTGGTAATGTGAGGGAGATTCCAAAAGTTTGCCGAGAAAGAGAATGAAATGATCATGGATTTTCAGATTATGACAGGGTGGGTTAGTGGTGGTGGTGCTGGGCACTGGGAGCTAATAATGGATACCAGATGAAAACAAAGTTCTCAAATTGATGCCTGAAGGCACAACTCTTTAATCTATCTAAGCCATTGTATGGTACGGTATGCAAATTATATATCAGTAAAACTTACTGCTTTTTAAAGATGATCACGGAATTTCCCCACAACCTTTTTGAAGCCCCCCTCCTATACTTTTATTTTGTTTTGAACACGTCAGAAAAAACGCAGCAGAAACTAGTCAACCAGGTTTCTGGATTCTGAAGAATGGGAACTGGAGGAAGAAAATGGGCCTGGACCATCAGGTGTCTGGGTTCTTGATGGCAGGTCAATGCCTCCGACTTGGAGATAAATGGACCAGGAGGGAAAGCTCCCCGACAAACGTGTGCTGCCATCAGGTTGTCCACGTCTTGGAGAAAGCTACTGTGGGGACTTTACTAATCCCAGGAGAGTGGGTGTTATTCCGAGCCAGAATCCATTCCAACTCATAATGGCCCCATGTGCGAGGGAACTGCCCGGGAGTGGCTTCTAGGCGGTCATCTGTACGGATTTCCCGTTTTTTACCCGCCACGGAGCCACAAGAAGACTTGAACCACCAACCTTCGGTTAGCAGACGAGCTCGTCAATGTGGCACCAGAGGGCCAGATATTTGAAAAGGAGCCCCTGTCCCCCACCCCCCTGCAACTTCAGACGCGGCGAGGATCAAGCTGATAGTTTTATTTACAGTTCCCTGGGAAATCTTACACAAGAGGGGCCATGGTTATTGCTTTAGGATTATTGCCAGGAGGAAGGCTGCAGTCCCCCACTGCCAGGCAAGGAGCCCTGCTCAGGGCTAAAGTCGGCCCAGCCCCACTTGCACCTGGGACCCAAAGGCTGTCTGTCACTAGTTCCTGTGAAGCAAGTAAGTGCCACCTGGCTGCTTCTGCCAGGCCATGCTACCCATCTGCCATGGGATAACCCCTCCTTTGAGAGTGCAGTGTCACCCTATCCTCACACTTAGCCCCGTCATGCAACAACGTGCTCCCGTTTAAAACCCTCTTCCACCTTCTGGCTGAGAGACTGGGTCTGCATTCCCAAGGATCACCATTCACTTCCCTGCCAGGACCAGCCTGGCGTCCTATGTTGGTGGTGGTGGTGGGGGGGCTGGAAATACCACCACCACGAGAACCCCGTTTCCCGTGGCCCTGATGATGTTATAACACGTTGGGCACCTCAAGGACCACTATGGAGGGGCTCTGCATGTTCCCTGGATCTACCGGCTTGCATTTTTTTCTGGGTCTCGGCGATAAGGGAAGAGAAGGGAGCGAGACCAGGGCCCTAGAGGAGATGACCCAGTAGCTCATGCCCGGGTTAGCAAGAAGGCCTAGATGCAGCAGGGGCGGGTGGGAGGACTCCTTTCTCTTCCAGCGCCACTGCGGAAGGATATGGCTTTGTCATGCGTATTGCTACTCAAAGCCGGACTCTACGGTGGGCGGGGCTACCCGAGGGGCGGGGCTACCCGAGGTCCGGAGCGGGCGAGCGGCAGCTGCAGGGAAGCGGTGCTGGAGTGGGGCGGCGGTCCTGTTTGGGCTCCCGGCGCCCCCCAAGGACTATTTCTTGGAATGTGCTTTGCTTCCCAAGAGCCCGTCGATTTCCATTACGGTCTGCGGGGTCAGCTGGCTCAGCACCTGCAGGACAAAGGGGTGGTAGAGAGGGCAGCAGAGGTTGGGTCACCTACGAAGGGAAGGGGCTGAGGGGGCTCGAGGGCCCAGGGAAGCAGCCAAGTGGTGCCAGGTGCCAACGGGAAAATCGGATCGCAGCCGGCTGTGTCGCCCTGAGACCTGGCCTGCCAAAGAGGTGACCTCCTGGGCCATTTTGACTTGGACAGCTAGGCACTGAGCCCTAGGGAGCAGAGAGGGAGTGCTGCCTACCTGTACCTGTCCCCAGCGTACCTGTAGGGCCCCTAGGTGTTCTATCAGCTGCTCCACACTCGACACCCCCAGCAAGACAGAGCTGACACCCTCACTGCGGAGACACCACGCTGGAAACGGAGGAGGAAAAAAAGCGACCCAATGGGGCAAGGCGAGCACACGGCCCCCAGAGGTGCCCCAGGATCCGGCCTAGGTCCCACGCCCGACTTAAGCCTCTCCCAGGAGGAGCCGGGGCTCCGTGGGGTCCAGCCCTGCTGGTGGCTCACCTATAGCAAGCTGGGCCACCGTGCATCCCAGCTGGTGAGCCATGGGCAGGAGATCCATGAGTTTGGCCTGTTGCTTCTTGCCATCCTCACTCTGCACCTTGTCCTTGAGCCACTGGTAGCCCTGGAGACCAGGGAGAGTCATCAAAAGGCAACGAAGGAACTACGGCGCGGCCCACCTTCTCCCAGCAATCCAGATAGCCCTGCTCCGCCCCGCCCCCACCCCATCTCACCTTGATGGTGGCCCTACTGGTATCAGAGACTCGCCCATCATACTTGCTAGTAATCAGGCCACAGGCCACAGGAGACCAGGTGACTGAGCCAACACCTATGAGGAAGAGGATTTGGTGTGAGGCGAGGGATCTAGGCATGAGAGTAGCTGGGGGTGGGGGTGGGATGTGGGGGTAGGGGTTGCAAACCAATCTTGTGGTAGAGTTCTGGCAGCTGCATTTCCACCTTCTCCCTCTGAAACAGGTGGTGCTCAGCTTGCTCACACACGGGAGGAATCAGATTGAACTGCCTGGCCATGGAGTAGGCCTCCTGGGTTGGGGTGAGGAGGAGACAAGGGTCAAAGCATTCCTTCCATTTCTTTCCACACGTTCCCCCGGGTTGAGTGGGGTGGGCGTGGTTGTGTGAATAGGGGGGACTGGTCGTGGGGTGGGGGAGGTAAGGGTACACTCACCATGATTTCTGTAGCCCCCCATCGAGATGTCCCCCAGTACAGGGCCAGGCCTTGGTTGATGACGTAAGTCATGGCTCGCACAATCTCTAGGCATATGGGAGAGAGCACGCCTCACTGTCAGATCCCTGGAATCCACGGGTCCAGATCGACAGCGACCTCCCCAAGGCCTCGGGCATTTCAGAGGTTGGTATCTTTTCGCCTCCTTCCCCACCCAAGTTCCGGGAGCTGCCTCTACCCTCCCTCCGGAGGTTGGCGGGCTTCCTCAGCAAGGCCTGGCTTCCTGCTGAGCATGTGGAGGAAGTACTTGGTTTTGAAAGATTGTTTAGGGGAGGAGGACATTATTGGTTTTACCCTCCATGGGACTGTTGGGGTCTGAGCGATTGGCAAAGACGATGTCCACATATCCCAGCTGGAGCCGTTCCAGAGATCCTCGCAAGCCTGGGGGTGGGAGTGAGGAGTGGAAGGTAAGCCCCCCTGAGAATTCAGATCCTACCCATTGCCATGACTCCCTCCATCCCAGCTCCCCCTGTTCACACTCTCCAATCTAGAGCCTAAGAGAATGCTCCTCCGCTTTTCAATACCGAGTCCCACTCCTAACTCTCACCCTCAATGATGTGTTTGCGGCTCAAGCCCCTCTCCGTTTCAGCCCTGTAGAAAAAGGCATGTCAGAGATGAAGTGTGACAAACCTAGGAGAAAAGGCTAGCCTAGCGCCGTGAGGAACTGGGACTGAATGAGCCCTCTCAGGCAGGAAGGGACAGCTCCCCATCCCCCTTCCATCCACCTTCACACATTCTTTGTGGATCTTCCTCCCCCATGGTGGCGGGGCAGCCACTTACTGTCCTCCCCAAAAAATCTTGGTGGTGATGACATAGCTTGATCTCCTGGGAAAAAAGAAACGTGGGGACCAGCAAGAAAAGGAGCATTGAAAGATCACATATCAGGACCCCAAAACACAACCTCACCTCCAACCTTTGCTCTTGAGGATGTTGCCTAGCGTTCTTTCAGCCCTGGAAGGAAGACAAAGCGGAGATGCTAACCCCTCTGACCCAAAAGCCCCTGCCATCAATTCCGACTCCGGGATCATTTCCCTCCCACGCTTCCTCACCCTTCCTTTCAATTCACTTCTTTTCTCGCAGAGTGGGGCCTAAGTCAGGAATCCATTACGAACTTGGTCCCATCCAGAACGGAATAAAACCAGATATTGTTTTCATTCATTCAACAAACACCTATCACCCATCAGCTATACATCAAGCCCTCTTCCGGGTGCCGAAGGGATAGAATACGAGGAGACAATCAGACGGTGGCAAAGTCAGGAAGGATAGTCCCTTGCCTGGTTCCAATCATCTAGGTTGCCTTCCCCCAGCTTTGAGCTTCTGAAAAGTTTACCCAGCCTCCAGAATTTTGCTTGCATTCTGCCTCACCCATAAAAATAGCATCGGAGTGTCACAGTCTATGGCTCGTCCTTCTTGGAAGCTTCCAATAGCTCTGATGGGCTACATAATTCTTTCGCACTGAATTTGAGTTATCTTAAGCTGCTAGAGAGGACTGTTACTGAAATGCTTTACTGCAGTGCACCTTTTCATATCTCCCTATCTCGTCTGGCAAGCACTTAGATTGTGGCCTTTCTGTGGACTCGCCCCCCTCTATGTGCCTGTTCTGTGACGTAGGAAAGAACAAGATCTGGTCCCTGGAGAGAAGAACCTCACAGCTGAGCAGTGACTAGAGGGCAACAGGACATGCTCTGGGAGCTCAGGGGAGGGAATAATGACCAGCTGTGGGGAGTTGGGAGAAGGCTTCTTGGAGGAGCTGATGCTTGAGCTAAATCTTGAAGATGAGAAGTGTTTGCCAAATTTTAGCTATTCCCAGTGTAAAGCCACAGGTCTATGATGTGGTATGGTATGTTTGGAAATCCGGCTTCTAAATCCTCTCATCATTGCACGCAGCCAACACCTAGGATGTATGTGTCGGCTTTGCTTTACTCTGCCTGCACAGTATGTCCATTGCCCTCTAAACTGGCATTGGGACTACAATTCCCATCATGCTTCAGGAGTCCATCTACTGTTTTCAGAACTCCCAGGGTTCCTTGGAAGGACAGCCCGAATCCTTAGTGTCTTCTCAGCCTTCCAAGTGTACGTCAGCACCTTCACCCCAGTCCTTACTTTCCAGCTGCGTACACTTCGGCGGTGTCGAACAGGTTTATGCCATGCTCATAAGCCACCGTCAGCACATCCTCTGCGCTCTAGGGAGTTGAGAGGAAAAGTTAGGGTTCAACCACTGACCCCTCCTACACCTCCCTCCCTGCCCATGCCATTGCACGCCAGCCCTGGTCTCCACCTTCTTTCCCCTTTCCCATCCTCCAGCCCAGGTGCACATTCCCCATGCTGATTGTCCACATCCAGATCCACGTCTCTTTCTCCACCTTTTTGCTGGGTCCCTCACCGCCCCACCTGCTCCCAGGCTCCATTAGTTATACCTCATCAGAGATCCGAGACCCAAAGGTGACCCAGGTTCCTAGAGGAGAGAAGCCGGTACTTGTGAGCACCATGGGAGACAGCCTCTACAGAATGCCCCCTCCCTTAGACGTCTAACTCACCCAGGCCAAGACAGGACACCCGGAGACCAGACTTTCCTAGGTTCCTACAGGATACAGAAGAAGCAAGAAGTGGGTGGAACCCCCATTAAGAACCTAGATTATCCGTCCCCAGGTCCTTTCCTCCCAGTCTGAGAAGCCTTCAGAGTGTCTTGGTCCAAAGAGACCAGACCCAGTGGACGAGCCTCTGGGATTAGAACAGTTGCTGCAAGCAAAACTGAATGAGTGTTCCCGCAAGGGGGGTGGGGGGCACTGTCCCACGAAGATGTGGCGCCCGCTCTGCGTTTGCCCCTCGTGTTTCTTCTGAATGGGATCTTGCGAGGGATGTGACTGGCTAGTCTGTGAGAGCAGGATGCTCTGACTGTGACCGACAGAGCTCTCCTAAAGGCACATGCCAGGAGGGAAGGGTCAATCAAGTCACAGGCACACAGGGATGTAAGGGTCCCGAGTAGCTGAAGCAAATGGGAGGACACACTTGTAACAACAACAGGTAGGAGAGCTGGTGGTGAATGTGGCCAGTTTCCCCCCTCCACTCCCTTTTGGGGCCTCATCTAACCCAGGGACAACATTGCACCCCCCACCCCCACCCCAGGCCCCCCTACCAGAGTAGGCAGTTCAGGTTCCCATCAAGGCTGCCCCATGGAGGGGATCAGATTCCTCAAGGGAAAGCCAGGTCAGACCAGTGACCCTGAGGGCTCACTCTCTGGTGAGATTCCTCCCCTCTCCCTTGCTGAAAGCCTCGGAGGCCCAACCCCCCACCGCCACAGCCCCAAGTTCACTGAGAGGAAGTCATCTGCATTTCAGTCCACCTTCCCCTGCCTCTCAGCATGGAGCTGAAAGATTCACCCACACCCAAAACCTGCGCCCCCCACCCCAAAGGTCTCAGGATATGTAGGGGCAGGAGGGGATAGTATTTGGGTCAGGTTCCCAGAGCTGGCTAGAGGGACAAGCCGTTTCCCTCCCTCTCTCGCTTCTCCCCAGGTCGCCAACCCAAGGGCACTGGATTGGGATGGGGGGGGGAGGGGGTGGGGGGCGGCAGCGCAGCCTGGGAATCCGTGCATCCTTCGCCTTTCTGGGGGTAAGGAGGGAAGGTGAGGGGCAGCCCTGGGTCTGACAAGACCCGGCCAACCGTCCTCAAGTTGCTCCTGTCATCCTGCGGGTACGACGACGACCAAGGGAGGGATCACAAGTAAGGCAATGCTGGGGGTGCGCCGAAGAGTAGGGACGAAGCGGGACCTTTGCATCGAAGTTTGCGGGGACCCTGAAGGCCAGCCCGGGAAATCTCAGGGGCCTGGGAAAGGATGGCGCTGGCTGATGGGCCACCCCCCGTACCTGTATTTCATGCCGGTGCTCCGGCCGGTGCTCTCTCGGAGGGCCCCAGAGGACGCTGGAGGCCGGGGGACCAGCGCGGCCCGGGCCTTGGGGCCCGACCCTCCTCCCCCTGGAGGATTCCCGTGCGCCCCGCCATTACCGCCCCCGGGGCCCGGCCGGGGCCCGCACAGACGGTCCTCGCTGCTCCGGCTGCGAAGGTTCTGCTCGGTGCAAGCGATAGACACCTGCATGCCGGCCGGCCAGGGCGGGGAGCGGGGCTCGCTGGGGGCGGGAGACGGGGGGCGCAGGGAAGCCCGAGGGCGCGCGCCCGGGGGCGCGGTGGGGCGAGCCCCCGAGGGCCGGGAGGCGGAGGGGGCTGCGGCGGGAGACGCCAGGCAGGAGCAGGCCAGCGGAGGCGGGCTGCTGGAGGTCGCGGGGTTTGCGGCGGGTGGTGGGAGACGCGGGGGGCGCCAGGATATTGGGGTCCAGGGACACTGGCACAGGAACGAGCGGGGGTGAAATGATGGAGGGTAAAGGTCGAAAGCGGTCCTCGGCGGCGAGTAAGAACCTGGCGGCAAGGGAGACCGGAGAGGGGAGCCACCTCCGCTCGAACCGCAGCGGGACCCGCTAGACTCCCAGCCGCGTCGGCAGCGGGCCCAGCTCATCAACATGCAGGCACCGCCCCCTCGTTTGCATAGGCCCGCCTGCCTCCCCGGCCGAGCTTACCTCTCAGCAGTCTTGCACCGGATTGCTACTTCAGAATGCTCCAGGGAGCAGGTGCTTTCCCACCCCTCTGGGGTCTAGCAGGAGTAGCTCAGGGGTATTTGACTGACTTTATCTGGTGGGGTAGTGGTTACACGTGGGGTTGTGATCCATATGGAGGGTAGTTCAAAACGTACTTGCAGCTCTGTGGGAGACTGGGCTTTCTACTCCCGAACCGGTCCTTGGAAACCCACAGGGCATCACCATGAGTCAGCATTGACTCCGTGGCAGTGAGTGAGAACTTGACCTCTATGAGCCCTGGTGGCACTGTGGGTTAAGCATGGGGCTGATAACCTCCGGGCCCATGGTTCAAATCCTTTAGCGACTCGGAGGGAGGAAGTTGAGGCTATCTGTTCCCTTAAAGATTTATAGTCTTCGAACCCCTATCTAGGGTCGCCATGATCTTCATGAGTGAGATGATCTTGGTGGGACATTGTGAGTGGAGGACAGCGATGCTGCTAAAATCCTGCGATGTCCAGGTCCGTGCTCTCTCCTCGACTCCTAACAAAACGCTAAAACAAAATTTAATGACTCACTGGCTCAAGTCAGGAGCCCTGATGGTGTAGTGGGTTACCGAGTTGGGCTGCGAACTGCAAGGTTGGCAATATTCTCAGAAATTCCCAGGAGCAGGACCACTCAGCCCTGTAGGGTCACTGTGAATCCGAATCAACTTGATGGCAGTGAGTTTGGTTTGGTTCACCATGGAGTCAATTCAGCGTCACAGCAAGCCTCTAGGAACAGAATAGAATTGCCCTGTGAGTTTCTGTGCAGTAAAGCTTTACAGGATCAGAAAGCCTTATATTTCTCCCATGGGGTCACTGCTTGGTTCGAACATCTAAACTTGCGGTTAGTAGCCCAAAGCATCATCCACTACCCCACCAGGGCTCCTTTACCAAAGAATTACCTACCCTGAAAGATCAAGAGTGCCATTTTAGAAACGCACAGGATGGCCTCTTGGCAGGCCTCAGGGGGTGTGGTCTCTTAGTTCCCACCTTCCTGAGTACATGGGGACCGGGACCACCCATTCAAATGACATACTTAGGCTGTAGACGGTAATAACAAGTTTATTGTGTGCCTCTCAAAGGGTCAGGAAGGGAGGGGATAAAAACTTTCCAGGAGACAACTGGCCTCTCTTTGCCCGAAAAACTGTGGGTATCACTTGGCAGTGGGGGCAAAAAAAAATTAAAACAAAACAAAAACAAACTGTCCAGGAACGAGGCTCCGGTTTGGCAATGTGAGGTCCCTTATGGGCATGCTTCCAGTGTTGCAGAGGGCACCAAGGAGTGGGTTAGGCTGTTGCCCTTGAAGGAGTTGGGGGCGGGGGTGGCCTTTAATGGGACCCTTAGGTAGCACAATTTAGGAAGGTCCTCAGGCAGACACAGATTCTCTGCAGGGTGAGGGTGCATCCATCAGCCAGCCCTGGCAGAGAAGAAGGGCAGAGAGCGGATGTAGGAGTCCAGTCGGGATCGGAAGAGCTCACTTTGCACAGTTTGGCCCAGAGGGCACAGAGGATTCTTCACCACCAGTTCCACGTACAGCTATGGAGAGGGAGAGTGTTTAGAGCCTACCTTTTGGGCATGTCAGTTTCCAACCCCAAATCTAGCATAACCTGGGGGTGGGGGTGGGGATGGGAGGGCGTGAGGATACACAAGGAAGGGTCCGTGGAGAGAAACTGATGATGGGAGTGTTTAAAGACCTAAACAGCCCACAAGAAAATTCCGACTTCATTGAAGATACAGCAGGGTGGGGGTGGGGGTGGAGGGGAGCTGACAGTCCATGGTTGTTGGGGGAGCTTTGGGGGAGAGCCCCAGGGGCTGGCACTGACCGCACTGTAAATGTGGTGTAACACATCCCGGATGGGTCCCACGCCCAAATCAGTATTCATGACCACCTTGATCCCAGTGGGCGTCTCATAGTAATGGAGTTTGTAGCGGCTAGTTTGGAAAGCCAGGAAGCCGTCCTTCCTGCAGAGATCAGCAGGATGTTAAGGGATCAGAGCGAATCTCTCTCAAAGAGATACTTCTGATCCCCTCGTGGTGGTTCATCTCTAGTTGTAGGAGCCTGGTTGATCAGAGACACCTGTTTGTAGGAGCTTAAGTGAAGCCACCTCCCATCCTCACCTCTCCTCCCTTTAAGCCCCAGGACCTTCAGAGCTTCCCCACCGCCACACTTGCCAGCTCCCATACTCTTATTCCAGACTGGGGTTCTTAAGTCTCCTTCTCCTCCAGAAGTTGCCCTCACTCCAAAACTCCCAAGGCTAGACCTCCGCCTCTCGACAACCCTTCCGATTTTGCGTACATGTCCAGCGGGGACATCTTGCTGACAAACGACCGAATAGAGAACAGCATCCCGTACATCAGCTTGTATTCCTGGGGGAAGAGGTGCAGGATAAGCTCTGTGGTTGAGAGATGAGAGGGGGGGGGGCGGGACTGGGAATAACTGTTTGGGTATGGAGGTCAATGGGGATCAGCCGGGGCCCCTGCGTCACCTCCTCTTTGGGGATCCCCGCTTGCTTCTTGCGGTGCCACTCGCTGTAGTGCAGACATACGCCATTACGGTCAAACAAATACAGATTGTGGACTGTCATCGGTAGGGCCCGGAATAGGAGCCTCGCACGGGAAACCGTCCCCCCTCGGTGGTCTCCGGCTCTCGGCTCTGGACTAGGGTTCTCTCCACCCAGGTGGGCGGTCTCTCCCCGGAAGCACCGGAAATGCTGCGAGTGCCCGGCTCCGGTCACTTCCGGTTTCTGCGGCACCCCGCCCCGTAGAGTCCTCACGCAGCCTTTGTGGGGCAGTAACCCCGCCCCAACTCCTCTCACCAGACTCCTCCTCCTTCCTGGTCGTCCAATCTGGGAGCGCCGGAGTTGCGCACGCGCGCTCGGGCCTCCGCACAACTACGGCGAACGAGGGCTCGCGGGTGGATGACGTCACCGCAGCGGGGCGGGGCTGCGGACGGTGGGCGGGAGGCTGCCAACGGTTTTGAGGGCGCGGCGCGAAGCAGGGGTGTCTAGGCTTTCCCGGACCCTGGCTCGTGGGAGGGTACAATTCTCTATTCCTCCCCCCGGCAAGTTGCGGGGTGAGGTGGGGGGCTGTGGATGTGGAGCTTGGTCGCGGTTGCAGATTTTAGGAGGCGCGTTCGTTTGGGGCACCGTCTGAGGAAGGCCGAGGGTTGAGACGGCTTCTTTGGGGGTGCTGGGGAGCGAGCCCTAGTATGGTTCTTTTGCCGGGAGAAGTAGCAAGGCGTATGCGGGAGCGTTGACCAGGGTAGAACGGGCGGAGGAGGGTGGGCGAGTGAGACTTGGCCTCGTTGAGACTAAAGCCCATTCTGGCGAACATAAGGCCACTGGGCAGCAGCTAGGCCCCCATTGGGGCAGTTTCAGTTGGCAGTTTCAGTTCTGGGTTTGAGAACTTCAAAGAATTCCTGGTTGGGAAGAGGTGCTGTTAACGCGCCCTTCCGCGCCCACCTCCTCCTCCATGCTCCATCCTCCCAGCCACCCATCCCTCTTTGCAAGAACGACGAAAAGGAATGCCTTTAACTCCCATGGCCTCAAGAGTCCGAGGAAATCTTTCCCTTAACCATAAAAATCTCCCCCCCTGGTGCCACCTGGGATCCTTGTCTCAAAGCCTATCCTCTGAAATCTTCCCCCTTGCCCTTGAGCCTGGCTCCCCGAAAGCCCGGCCAGGAGTTCCCAGCCCTCTGCTTCCTCCGCCCGCCTCTTCCCTGCGCCCATGACAACCTCGGCTCCCAGCCCCAGCTCCCCTCTGCGCTCAGAGGATCTCCTAAGTGATTCCTCAGACCCCCCGGTGCTGAACCCCGTGTCCTCTGAGGTGACGGCCCAGCTCTATGCTTCTTTGCGCCACAGTCGGCAGGCGGAGGCCACAGCTCGAGCGCAGCTGTACCTACCCCCCACCTCCCCGCCTCCTCCCGGGGTGCTGGGGGGCTTGCCAGAGCTGAGCCGAAGCTTGTCGGGACTGGAGAACAACTTGAAGAAAAAGGTGAGGGACGCTTGTGTTGGGAGCCTTGAAGGTACTAGGCACCAGTCTGGAGGCTGAGGGTGGTAAAGACAAAACTACAAAAAACCCAAAACCCCACCTACCAAGATTTGTTCTATTACTAAGTTTCTGGTGGCACTGATGGCTGAGCATTGGGCTGCTCCCTTCAAGGTTGACGGTTCAAGCCCCTTAGCCGCTTCTTGGGCAAAGGGTAAGTTTGTCTGATCCCATAAAGATTTACAGCCTTGGAAACCCTATATAGGATGGCTATGGGTTAAAATTGACTGAATGGCAGTGGGTTTTTGGTTTTATTATTGGATTTCAGGCGCAATCATACTTCTTTGCAACAGATGTTTATGAGAGAGAGTGGGGTCTATGGCACTGTACTTTTGAAAATAGTGACAGTTCCTCATGGAAAGTTTATAGTTGTTTATACTCCACACCTGCACTGTGGAGTAGGTGGATGATGTGTTATCACTGAAAGCGAGGATAAGGTTCCTTAATCTCAAGAGGGAATCTAGGTACTTAAAAATTAGCAAAATATGCTAAAATCCTTTCTGCTCAAAATGATTCCAGTTTGACATGTAAGTCAATAAAGCATAATTCACTCAACTGTACATACTATAGAGAAGATCTTGTGGCCGGAAAAGGTGTCATAATAATTTTCAAGCTGATAACTCTAATCAAGTTTGGAAACTGGTGTTTGGGCAAGAGTTCCTGCTCTCTAATGGGCCAGACTCGTGCCTGATACCTTCCAAGTTTACTTCTCCACACCACCTGCCTGCTTCTGTAGGTATTTGAATTTCCCACTCAAGGTGAACACACCTTATTGGGTCAGTTCTGTTTGGGCTTTCCCTGATGCTGGACAGAGACTCTTGACTTTCAGTGGGACTCTGAAGTCAGCTAGGACTCGTTGGGTGGTACAAATGGTTAAACACTCAACTACTGACTGAAAGATGGGCAGTTTGGACCTACCCAGAAGCACCTCGGAAGAAAGGCTTCGGAAAGGTCATTAAAACCCTACCGAGGGCAGTTCTGCTCTGTAACAGATAATGCTCCGCATAGATCAGAAATCTGCGCTATAGCAACTGGTTTAGTGTTCTGGGTGTTGTTGAGTGTCAGCTACCCTGGCAGTAGGTAGAATATGGACCACACAGGTTGCCACTGATATCTGTGTTGCTTAATTTCCTAGGATGGTTCCAAGCATATCTTTGAGATGGAAAGCGTCCGTGGCCAACTCCAGACCATGCTCCAAACCTCGCGTGATGCGGCCTATCGTGAGTAGACCCCTGCTTGGAGCTCTGAAGGAGAACCTAGATTTAGGCGCGGGAGAAAGTGGAGAGCAGAAGCAGGGAGGAAAACCTGGACCTCACAGACATGCAAGTTTAGGAGAAAAGCCTTGAACGCGCTCATCTGGAGGAGGCGGACAGGAAGGTGCCTCTCTGATGTCCGCATCTGACCCGGCTGTTGGGTCCCTCTGGCTGCCCGCAGGGGACTCTCTTATCCCAGGTATTGAGAGACGGGAAGAGGACTCCTTTGACAGTGACAGCACAGCTACTTTGCTCAAGTGAGTTCCCCTGGGGTTTCACCCAGCTTGCTTTCCCAGCATCCAAGTGAGTCTCTTCCTTAGTGCTCCCTTTATTGGTCTTCTACTTCTTAAAGACCTAAGACTTTTTTTTTTCCTTTTAAAAATCATTTTATTGGGGGCTTATACAACTCTTATCACAATCCATGCATGCATCCATTGTGTCAAACACGTTTGTACATGTGTTGCCATCATCATTCTCAAAACATTTGCTTTCTACTTGAGCCCTTGGTATCAGCTCCTCATTTTCCCCTCCCTCCCCGCTCCCCACTCCCTCATGAATCCTTGATAATTTATAAATTATTATTATTTTGTCATGTCTGACGTCTCCCCTTACCCACTTTTCTGCTGTCTGTCTCCCAGGGAGGAGGTTATATGTAGATCTTTGTAATTGGTTCCCTCCTTCTCCCTCTACCTTCCCCTTCCCCTCCTGGTATCGCCACTCTCATTATTGTACCTGAGGGGTTTATCTGTTCTGAATTCCCTGTGTTTCCAGTTCTTATCTATACCAGTGTACATCGTCTGGTTTAGCCGGATTTGTAAGGCAGAATTGGGATCATGATAGTGGGGCAGCGGGGAGAAGCATTAAAGAGCTAGAGGAAAGTTGTATGTTTTGTCATTGCTGTACTGCACCCTGACTGGGTCCTCTCCTCCCTTCGGGACCTAAGAATCTTGACCCTGAGCTTTCAGTGCCCGTTTTTCCCCGTCATGTCATCTTATGAGTACTTTCTGCCTAGTACCTTCTTTTCTCTCAGCTGCTTTTCCTTCCTCCCCTGGAAAAACTATCTTGTGTCTGCCGAGATCTTTGCTGCGCCGCTCTGAGACGGAGGAAGTAGTGCTTTCGTGAGACTCCCAGGGCCTCTGTTCTCGTTAAGGCCCTGTCACTGCCTAGCTTTATGACTTTGGACACGTCTCTGGCACTTTCTGGGTTTTAGTTTCCGCGTTTGTAAAACATCACACTTCACCCACGGAGCTCACGAGTGTTCCCAGCCCCTAACATTCTTTACCTGATCTCCTCAGCACCCGGCCTCTGCAAGACTTATCCCCATCTAGCTCCGCCCAAGCCCTGGAGGAGCTGTTTCCCCGCTACACCAGCCTTCGGCCAGGGCCCCCACTCAATCCCCCGGATTTTCAGGGCCTCCGAGATGCACTGGAGTCAGAGCATACCCGCCGCAAGGTAAGCGAGGACACGAGGGCCCTCCTGAAAAGGGCTGAGAGGTAAGGGCCTGATAGCTGGGCCTTTGCTCGAATGGCTCTTCAGGGAGACCTTTTTTGACTCCTCTTATCTAACATGTTTCCCGAGGTCACTGTGAGTTCAAAATAGACCCTGTAGCACCGAACAACAACGGTATCTAAAATCACTCTGTTATTTGCGTCTGTGTAGTCACTTTATAGTTTGTCACTGGTGTAGTGCTACCCTGTCCTGTCGGGTCGCTATGAGTCGGTATAGACTCGATGGCAGCGAATTTGGCTTTGGTTTTGGCATTGCCATCTGGCATATCTTGTCTCCCATCTAAAATAGAAGCTCCCCAAAGGTCAGTACCTTGCCTGCCTTGTTTGGGCCTGACTCCCTGTGGGCTGGAGTACACCCAACTCATAGAAGCACTCCAACCATGTCTGTTGAATATGCCTAGTTGATAGAGGCTCTGGAGCTATTGCAGTGAGCCTCGGCCTTCATGTCTGAAGAGCACAGGGCACAGTGCCTCTGTTTGAAACTGCATGGGCATGGATGAGAGGCTGTCCCCTTTGTCTTTACCGCGTTGAACCCTTGCAACCAAGGAGCTACTTGAAGGCAGGTGTCCCTTTTCCCACGCTTTGCAGCACAGGCTTCTAGTGTACTTTTGCAAGAGAGTGTATAGGGACTCTTCTCAGGAAAGGGGAGTGCTTGACACCTGAGCACTCATGTCTTGAGAAGGTAAAGAAAAGTATTGGCGGCCTCAGACTCTATAAACACTCCAGCATCCTGGTTTTCCCTGTTACTGGGGCCTGGAGGCTCCCTGTCTCCAGCCTATTTCCTTGTCATGGAGGTGCAGAGTCTAGAACTGTGGTGGACTTTGGTCAGACTAAGGATGGGTGGCACCCAGACACCTCATCTTTCTTGCCAGCACTGCGAGCGCCACATTCAGAGCCTGCAGACGCGCGTGCTAGAGCTACAACAGCAGTTAGCTGTAGCCGTGGCTGCTGACCGCAAGAAGGACATCATGATTGAACAGCTGGATAAGGTACAAGGGGAGCAAGATGCAGGTGGGTTTTTATGAAGGACGTAAGGAATAGTAAATGAGAGGGTGACCAGGGAGACATCGGTCAGTGTAAGACATGAAAAAATAATAACCATTTATGAATTATGGAGGGTGAGCGAGGGAAGGGAAAAATGAGGAGCTGATACTAAGGGCTCAAGTAGAAAGCAAATGCTTTGAGAATGATGATGGCAACAAATGTAAAAATGTGCTCAACACAATGTATGTATGTATGGATTGTGATAAGAGCTGTATGAGCCCCCAATAAAATGATTTAAAAAAACAAGGGTGACCAGCCAACATTTCATTGTGCATGCTTCGAGCTGAGATGAAGAATGGGTTTACCGACTAACGTTAGAAAAAGATGGCTGTTGAAGGAGGCATGCGTTATTTTGAATTCCACCTGGCCCTTCCTAAGACCCTGGCCCGTGTGGTGGAGGGCTGGAACCGGCACGAAGCTGAGCGGACAGAAGTGCTTCGGGGTCTTCAGGAGGAACGCCAGGCAGCCGAACTCAACAGGAGCAAGCAGCAGGAGGTAGGCAACCCAGGTCAGAAGGCGTTAGAATGTAGGTCTCAGGTCACTAAGTGGAATAGGTCAGAAATCGACCCAGGGTCAGGGTTTCCAGCAGACCGACAGGACTGTCCTGCCAATCTGTCTCTTCCCATCACGGTTTCTGCTGTCAGAGTTGATAAGCTCCCCATTTCCCCCACACTGTGTAGTCTTCTCTTTGTCCCCCGGGTCACTCAGTTACTTGTTAGTGCTTTTAAAAGTGTTCTAGACAGACATTCCCCGCAGGTCTTCTGTTCCATGTTCCTCTCTTCCTGAAAGACAGTAACCCGCCTTGAGCAAAGCCTCTCTGAGACCATGGAGGCCCTGAGTCGGGAGCAGGAAGGCGCCAGACTGCAGCAACGGGAAAGAGAGACGCTGGTGAGAATGCTAGACTGGGTTGAGACCAATGGAGTGTGTTAGTTGCTTCTATGGAGCAGTGGATGCATAGTGAATTGTGGGAGTTTATGGTTGTACCAGGGCAGTGTTCCAACGTGTGTTCCTTGGGACAAGGTTTCTTTAGACAATCTACAATAAAGGGGTTCTGGGACCAAGCAAGTTCAAGAGACTCTGCAAATTGTAACCTCAAAGCATTAGAATCATCTGTGAAATTATAAACTCTAGATTCCTGAGACTCATCTTTAGAGTCTTTGATTCAGTAGCTCGTTGGTAAGGTTGGGGACCTAATTCTTGTTAGAACTTTCCCAGGCTATTTTGTTGAGCCAAGTTCGGGAACTCTGCTCTAGGATATAACCTAAAAAGGTGTGAGCTGATACTTAACGTTTGTTAGAGCTGAACTGATAATTGCCCTGTACATTTGTAGGTAGGTTTGGAACTTGCTGCGTGCGTGACACATGCTTGCTGCATGCATGCTGGTGCTTCCAGTCTTAATAGGCCCCACGCCGTAGTGCTGCTGCTGAAGGTTGGCTGCTTGATCTGCTAATCTTCATGGAACTTCTTTGGAGGATGGTGATAGCTATTGTCTATTCCTGTCCGTGTTAAGTACTTACTGTGTGCCAGACACTGTGCTCAGGCCTTTACATATCTTTGTAAACTTTACTGCTGTTATCTCCTCCAAAAGAGACACACCACAAACGATGGGAATGGCATTCAAACTGAGCTTTGAACCCAGGTACACCTGAGTCAGGAGAACAGGAGCTTTCATCTACTGCAGTAAATTTACAGTCCTGACAGTGGCCCAACTAGGGTGTCTTAAGAGGCCTAAAGCTTAGCAGGCACATCACGATTGTTGGTCTCTGGCAAGCCTGTTAAGGATCTTGGTTTTTCTCCTGGGCTCTAGGAAGAGGAAAGGCAAGCCCTGACTTTGAGCTTGGAGCTAGAGCAGCAGCGCTGCCAGGCCCTACAGAAAGAGCGGGATGAGGCGAGGGCTGGGCAGCTCAGCGAACACCGGCAATTGGAGCTGCTTCAGACTGCCTTAGAAGATGAGCGCCAAAGGTGGGCCCAGCAAGAACACCAGCTGAAAGAACACTACCAGGCCCTGCAGGAGGAGAGACAGGCTCAGTTGGATAGGGAGAAGGTAAGAGCAGCCGATGGAAGAATTGGGGGATGGGGACAGATGGAAGACAGAATAATCGAGTAAGAGAGGATGCCATCAGGTATGGGGGCAAGATGGAGAGTGAACTGTACGCCATGTCGATTACCCAGTAAGCAAGATAAGCATGAGCTTACTTGGGCTTATTTACTCACCTCTAGTGAAGAGTTTCACATGTTTTTCACTACATCAGAGAGGGAGGGAAACCCAGGTAAAATTGCTCCTGACTCTATGTGGGAAACAAGATTGAGAATGTCGGGCTGGCAGAAAGCGCTGGCGCATCCAGTTCGTGGAAGGCCACGGAGTTGGGATTAAACAGAAACGGGGAGATGAGACAAATGTGAGGAACCAGCGAGATTGGGAGGAGGAATAGAGGTAACCAGGAGATGGGTAGTAAGGTAACTAACTACTTGAGTCTTGCATTCTCTTTCTTAGGGGAACACCCAGAGGGAAGGCCAGGTGGCCCGAGAGGCCCAGCAGCAGTTGGCACTGGTACAGTCTGAGATGCGGCGCTTGGAAGGAGAGCTGGACACGGCTCGGCGAGAGCGAGATGCCCTGCAGCTGGAAATGAGCTTAGTGCAGGTCAGTCAGGAGGCAGAGCTCGGGAGGGTTTTCCCTGGTTGAAAAGAGGTCGTTCTGGGGCAGCGTGACCTCTGGGTGCGAGGCAAGCACTGCCACTTCAGAATAAGTGCAGGTTTCCTCCCCCCACCGCGCCAGTGTAGTCGGGTGGGGTTCTCTCGACAACAGTTTCCCATGACGCGTGTGTCAGGCTGGCCTCATGACAGAGTAGACTACCTCTACTCGAAGTATCTGAGGCTGTTCTTAACGAAGTGGCACCACACTCGGCACTCGACACACGCGAATCTGAGCTGTGGGAAGTTTTCGTCGGAGCTTTGGTGCACTCACACGAGTCTGCTTTGTAATTCTCGTGATTTGAAGAACGTAGGTTTGTTCTTCGCAGGGAGCCCTGCTGGCAGAGCAGCTGTACGCCCAGCTACTAACTGAAGGGCTGCTGGCTCACTCCGTGGACGACAGGTGCGGCAGTCTGCTTCTGTTAGGGTTCCGAGCCTTGGGAACCCCGTGGGGGCAGCCCTACTCTGTCCTGTGGGGGCTCTTCTGAGCTGGAATCAATTCCATACCAAATGGTTTGGTATCCCCCTGAGTGTGTGGGGGCCCAAGAGGGCAGTGGTTATTATAGTTCCCTCTGAAATCACCAGAACAGCACATGGCCTGGTATGCGGCCGCTCCCCAAATTATTTGTCAGACCTAATGTTACTTGGAAATCATTTTCCACTTAGCTAGCTCTTTGAAGCTTTTCAAATGGAAGTGAGATTCAGCAGCGTAGCATTCGCCGTTTTACTTGTATTTAATCCTCCTCCATTTTCTTTCAGGTTTCCAAGTTTTGCTTTGCACATTTAAGTCCTTATATAAAATTTAATTTTGTGAAGATGATAAGTAGAAGTCCAAAGAAATTTTTTTCTGTTGTAAACGCACCATTTGAATGGTCTTGACTTGTCCAATTGATTGGCAGTATGGTGCAGTATCGTGCCGCCATCACCACTATCTAGTTCCGGAACATTTTCTTCAGTCCAATGGGAGCCCGGAACCATCCATTAAGCTTTCACTTCCCATTCCCCTCATTCACCAGTCAATGGCAGCCACTTCCCTGCTTTCCGTCTATGAACTTGCTTGTTGTAGGAATTTCCTATAAAGGAGACCCTACAGTATTTGTGCTTTCACGTTTGACTTACTTTGTTTAGGCTGATGTTCTCAAGATGCATTGATGTTGTGGCTGAGTACTAGTCACCGTATGTGTGTACCGTATTTTGTGTATCCATTCATCTGTTAATGCCAGTTCAGTGGTTTCCAAGTTTTCTCGGCAGAGGACTGCAGTGCACACTTGTGTGCAAGGTCCTGTGCTGGTTCATTCATCCTATGTATACGCCTTAGACTGAAAGTGCTGGGTGGTACGTCTGTGTTCAACTCTTTGAGGAACTGCCTAACTGTTTTCCAAACCAGCTGCACCATTTTACGTTTTCACCAGAATTTGCTGCTGCTGCTTTTTAATTGGGTTGTTTTCTTATTACTGAGTTGTGGGAGTTCATTGTAGTACAGACACAAGTCTTTTATGAGATACGAGGGGAATTATGAAAGGTGAAGTTCTCCACATGCTTTTAGAAGCTCCCTCTTGATTTTTCCTAGTCTGCGGCTTGTCTTCATTTTATTTATTTATTTTTACTTATAGCTATCCTTTTTTTAAAATTTAAATCATTTTATTGGTGACTTGTACCACTCTTATCACAATCCATACATACATCCATTACATCAAGCACATTTGTACATTTGTTGACCCCATTATTCTCAAAACATTCACTTTCCACTTCTTCATTTTCTTCATGGTGTCTTTTCAAGATGTTTTTAATTATAATAAAGTCCTACTTATCCTTTTTTTTTTCTTTCATAAATTGTGTTTTTGGTGTTGTATCTGAAAACTCATTATCAAACCACGATCACCTAGATTTTCTCCTATGTTGTCTTCTAGAAGTTTTACAATTTTATATGTAGGCCTATAATCCACTTTGAGTTAATTTTTGTGAGAGGAAAAGTGTAAAGTCTCTACCTCATTTTCTTTTTTGTTAAATCATTTTGGGGGCTCATACAACTCTTATCACAATCCATATATACATCAATTGTATAAGGCACATTTGTACATTAGTTACCCTCATCATTCTCAAAACATCTGCTCTCCACCTAAGCCCCTGGCATCAGCTCCTCATTTTCCCCCCTCCCTCCCCACTCCCCCCTCCCTCATGAACCCTTGATAACTTATAAATTATTATTTTGTCATATCTTGCCCTGGCCGACGTCTCCCTTCACCCACTTTTCTGTTGTCTGTCCCTACACTCTCACTACTGGTCCTGAAGGGATCATCTGCCCTGGATTCCCTGTGTTTCCAGTTCCTATCTGTACCAGTGTACATCCTCTGGTCCAGCCAGATTTGTAAGGTAGAATTGGGATCATGATGGGGGGGCGGGGACGGGAAGCATTTGGGAACTAGAGGAAAGTTGTATGTTTCATCGTTGCTACACTGCACCCTGACTGGCTCGTCTCCTCCCTGTGACCCTTTAGTAAGGGGATGTCCAGTTGCCCACAGATGGGCTTTGGGTCCCCACTCCACACTGCCCCTCATTCACAATGATATGATGTTTTGTTCTTTGATGCTTGATACCTGATCCTTATCCACACCTCGTGGTGTGCTTCTTCCATGTGGGCTTTGTTGCTTCTGAGCTAGATGGCCGCTTGTTTACCTTCAAGTCTTTAAGACCTCAGATGCTGTATCTTTTGATAGCCGGGCACCATCACCTTTCTTCACCACATTTGCTTATGCACCCGCTTTGTCTTCAGCGATTGTGTCAGTAAAGTGAGCATCACGGAATGCCAGTTTAATATAACAGAGTGTTCTTGCATTGAGGAAGTACTTGATGGGAGCCCCAATGTCCATCTGCTACCTTAATACTAAACCTATAAATATATGCACGTAAATCTATTTCCCCATCCTCATATATAAATATATTTACATATGTACATGCCTGTATTTCGACCTTTACAAATGCCCTTTGCCCCCTAGCTCTTTCCTCTATTTCCTTTGACTTTCCTCCTGTCCCACTATCATGCTAAGTCTTCATTTGGGTTTCAGTAATTCCTCTAGGTTACTTTACCCTTGATCAACCCCTACCAGGCCTCCTACACCCTCCTCACCACCAATTTGGATCACTTGTTGTTCCCTTGTCCCTGGGTTTGTTAACACCACTACCTTTCCCCCCACCTCCCTTTCTCCCATGTTCCCCTGGAACTGTCGGCCCGTTGTTTTCTCCTCCATGTGGTTCATCCAGCTTATCTTATTTAGACAGACCTCAGTTTCTTTTTTAAAGAACCTGTAGATATGCAGTCATTCTAGCACCATTTGTTGAAAAGAATATCTTTTTTGGTTTTTTAAAAAAATCATTTTATTGGGAGCTCTTACAGCTCTCATAACAATCCATGCATACATCCATTATGTCAAGTATATTTGTACATTATGTTGCCATCATCCTTTTCAAAACATTTTCTTTCTGCTTGACCCCTTGATATCAACTCACTTTTTCCTCCCTGATCCTCCCACTCTCATGAACCCTTTATAAATTATAAATTATTGCTTTATATCTTACATTGTCCCCTGACTCCCTTCACCCATGTTTGTTGATCGTCATCCAAGAATATCCTTTTTCGATGGCACGCCTTTGCTCCTCTCTCATAGATCCGTGCACTACATTCGCGTGACTCTGCTTTGGAGCTCTGTGCTGTTCCATTGTCCTGTTATGGATTCTCTCATCAGGACCACTTTGTTGTGACTCGTGCGGCTTTGTAGGTCCTGAAGGTGAGGAGTGACTTTCCAGTCTTTCCCCTGGCCTGCCTGACTCACGTCTCCGCCCAGTGTGGAACAGTGGTGACGGAAGGCCTCTTTTGCCTCCACCCTTATTGGACATCCTTCAGTGTTTCACCAGTATGATGGGAGCTGTAGGATTTTGTGCACAAGGTTGCTGTGAATCAATGCAGACGCAATAGCATCTGACAGCTGCAACTCTATCAGATTCACAGTTTGCAGGTTAAACTTTGTGTGTGGGGTTGTACCCACACACAACCATGAAGGAGGATTGACGTTCATTAAGTGTTTCTCTGCATATCTCAAAATGATCACATGGCATCATTTTTTTTTTATTGAAATCTGAATGATACTGATTGGTTTACACATGTTAAACCAACCTTGCATTTTTAGATAAACTACTTGGTCATATATAGTAACTTTTTTTTTTTTTTAACATTTTTGTTGCATTCTATTTGCCCATATTTTTGTTTTGATAGTCATAAAGAATATTGGCCTGGAATTTCTTTATTCAAAATATCTTTGTCAGGTTTGGATCAGGATTATGTTAGTCTCATATGATAAGACTGTTCTCTGGCAAAGTATATAAAATGATCTTATTGTATTCCTTCCTTAGTTTTTAAAACTAACTTTCTATTGTGGATTAGTTGAGGGTTTACATAACAGATCATCATTTTTGCATTCAGCAACTTAAAACAACTTAACCCTTTCCATGGCTGTCTCCCCGCACTCCCCCACCCTGCCCCACCGCCACCACTTCTTCCTGAATGGTTACAAGTATTTACAAGTGAAGTCATCTGGGCTTTTTGTTTTCTTTGTAGAAAGGGTATTAATAACAAATTTCCATTATGTTTTCTGATAAATTTACCCAGTTCATTTAAGTTAAATTTATTGGCTGAAGAGGTGCCAGCCCTCTATGGCCTGTGTCTCACTGTGATGTATTAAACATAAATAAATACATAAAATTCTTGGCATACACTTTGTTATATTTGTAATAGTTTATGTTAAAATATTGTAATACTTTTCAGCCTCAGAGTAATAATTCCCTTTTCCAATTCTGATGTCAGTAATTTGTCTTTTCTTTTTTTTATAAGCCCAAAAGAAAGATATGTTCTTAAAATCTATATCTTTTCACATATTGTTTGTTTATGCGTGACATAATTATTGATCTTTTTCCATCGTACTTGGCCTATCCCGTTGTTCCAATGTTTCCTTCGTCTCTTTTCTTCCTTTGGACTTTCTAAACTCATTCACTCCACCCTCCACTTCCCTTTACTAATTTGGATGCTATTTACTCTTTCTTACTGGGTGGTTATCTTAGAACTCACACCATATGAGAGTACTTCAAAAGTTACAGGAAGCAGAATCAAAAGATTAAAAATAAAAAATGTAAACTCTATTTCTCAGTATAAGCTCTATCAAGTTCAATACACTTATGTAAGCAATGATACCAGCTATTTAGTTAGTCTATTTCTAAAGAACTGAAGGTCCTGAGAATTTAACTGCATCAATGTAGTCTTGTTTACATTATTCATTTAAAGGTTTGTTTGTTTGTTTGTGGGTTTTTTCTTTATTAAAATAAAATCTTTGTTAAATAAAAATATTCAAAATACGAAGCTACTGTTTCTAGACTTATCTTCCATATTGCTCTATACTTGTGAAGGCAGCGCTCCTTTCTCTCTTTAACCTTTCCCTGAAGACATCCGTCTTCTTGTATCATATCCAACCAAAGAAGACGGAGAAGCAGTGTTAGCACTGAGGGATCCAAGTTGTGTTCCTTTTCAGTGTGCTCTGAGTTTTGAGGACAAAAAGAAGTCTGAAGGGGCACGATCATGGGTGTCGAGTAGATGGAACCAGGTTTCTTAGGACAGCTTTTTATGCCCTTAAAGAATGAGCAGGTATCTTGTCGTGATGAAAAACACTCCCTTGACACAATTTGCCTGGTCATTTTCTCACCACTCCAGTCTCCAGTTCTCTTGAAAATTCCTTATAACAACGCTCCATAATCATAGCCATGTGCTTGGGGAAAATCTATTAAGACCATCGTTGGGGTCCCCTAAAAAAGAAAATAATCACTGGAACCTTCTGAGCTCACTTTTCTGAAAACCTTTTCCTGGTAAACTCCCTTAGAGAAAATCTATCAGAGTTACCCCATCTGGAATCTCGAAAAGCCCTAGTTTTCTGAGCTGACTTCTCGGCCTTGAATTTAACCGGCCCATCAGATCCCTTCAGAAAGCCATTGTTTAAATCCTTGCTCTCTGGATCATAGTGGTAAATCCAAAGCTTGTGCCAGGTTACATTTCATCCCAGGTCATCCTCCTTGTTATCTTGGATCCTGCGGTTAAGGGACTTGCAGGAAAGAGCGGCTCCTGCACCTCGCTGGTCTTCCTTCGTGCATTGTTTTTGGTACCGATCGAGGCACACGCTTGCTAAGGCTGAGGGTTTCACTTCCAGTTGAACACGCCGAACCGTGTCAGATCGCAATGTCTGCCTCTAGTGCATCAGTGGCACCCTGCGGGCCTCTTCCACCATCAGATCGCAGCGTCTGCCTCTAGTGCATCAGTGGCACCCTGCGGGCCTCGTCCACCATCAGATCGCAACATCTGCCCCTAATGCATCAGTGGCACCCTGCGGGCCTCTTCCACCATCTTCTGAGCTCCAGCCACTTTCTCCTGTCGTGGAGGTAGATGGTGCTCCAGCCTATCCTTGACATACCTACTTCCCGTAAAGTCGTTACAGAGCTGCTCAGTGCTTCGGAAGCTGTCCAGTTGACTTTTGTTTACATTTTTATATTAGTCTAGCATCAAAATTGATTTTTGTTTTTTTTTCACCTCATGGCATAAACAGTATCCTTTAGTAAACAGGGACCTTCAAGTGACTAAGCCAAGTGTGTCACTGAGAGAACTTATCCCTTGGTCACAGAGATACCGTGTATAAGCCGAGTTTTTCAGCACATTTTTAATGCAGTTTTTGTGTCAAAATTGGGTGCCTTGGCTGGTATTCGGGTCGGCTTATACTCGAGTATATATGGTGTGTTTAATATGCCTTGTTTGGAATAAACCTAGGTGCTGGGTGGTTTATCTGTGCCGTTCAGTTTGATGTTTGTGCTGTGTAATCATCTTATATCCTTATAAGTTATTCTTTCTGTTAAAATTTCATTGAGTGTGGATTTGCCTGTGTATCCTTTTAGTCTGTTGATTGTGGCTTTATACATTTTGGAACTATATAGTAAATGCCTATGAATTTGAAAACCACTATGTTTTCCATGCAAACTGAATGTCTCACCCTTAGTGAAGCGGCCGTCCCTAATAATGCTTTTGCCTTAGAGTCTTCTTTTGCCGATAGTAGTGGAGTCAGGTCAGCCTTTTTAAAATGGAATTTGCTTGGTAAATATTTTTTTCATTGTTTTTACTTTCAACCTTTATGTACTTGCCTTTTAACTGAAGCATTGAGTTTACTTATGTTTAATTTCTTTGTTCACACTTGGATTAATATTGCATTTTGTGCCTCCTATCTGTCTTGCTTATTTGGCATTTATTTTCCTCTGCTTTCTTGTCTTCTATGCTTAAATGTTAAACAAGCGAAAACCAAGCCAGCTCAATTCAGATGTATTCGATTTGAGATGTATCCAAATAGAGTAGGTTTTTCAGGTCAGTAGGTTACTGGGTATATGGGATGAAAGATGTAGGCTGAAGAGAAAGAGGAAGCTAAGTATAAAATGGTAGCAAAAAACATGCCCAAAGTGTATTATACACATATGAAAGCATTGGTGAGTAAGAGTGCCACATGTGACAGAAGACACGTCTAAGGATAGAACCCCAGGAAGGATCCCCCTTCCTCTTCTCCCAGAGCATCGGGGCAGCGACCAGTGCTTAGCCACTGTTCCACCAGGACTCCTTTCAGAGAAAGGGACACTGGCCTTTCTTGAGTGCCTGCTGGGTTGTAGGTGGTATGCTGCTGTTCTATCAAGCACCTAACAACAGATTTGATGGTTACACCTAATCATTCTTTTGGTTAAAAAAAAATGTTTCCCCCCCCCCCCCATGTTTTCCAAAGTCATTTCTGCTTTTGTACACAGATAAGATGTGAATACTTTGTGGCTTCATAGGGAAAGGAAACCCCTTTCATTGCAACACATTCTTTGTTTGTTAGACTCTCGGCATAGGAGAGGGAACTAAGGTTGGTGGAGTTTGTCTGGGTCGTACCCCAAACAAAAGGAAGGGACCGTATGCCACCTTCTTTCACTCCCAGGCTCGGTATGAAAGCCAGAGGATCCAGATGGAATCCGAGCTGGCGGTGCAGCTGGAGCAGCGGGTGACCGAGCGGCTGGCCCAGGCTCAGGAGAGCAGCCTCCGGCAAGCAGCTTCCCTACGGGAACACCACAGGTACTTGGGACTCACTGGCTGCTGCTCTGCCCCAGTTTCAGCAGATATAGAAAGTACTGGAAAGACCTCGCCCGGGTCTCCTGGCATCCCTCTGCCTTTGTCAAGCACACTAGCTCCTAATTTGCTCTCCCTCCTGTGAGCCGTCACCTCGGTCTCTCTGGGAGTGCTGCCTTCAGGTGCATAGGAATGTAACTATTCATTGATGTGGACAGTGCTGAGCTGTGAAGTAGTGCTCTCCAGAGCCTCCCCTGGGACTGAGCATCCTTCCATTCCAGTGGACACATCTCGCCCCCACTCCTCTACCAGTGTTTTGGGAAATACCTCCTAAAGAAATAATTTTCCCTTCAGTCTGTATTTCTTACTACAAGACACCAGCTTTGCCCTTCCCTCTCCTCTGAACCCCCGGTCTTCTCCCTTGCGCACCTCTTGCTCCAGACTCAGGCCCCTTTCCTTCCCTCTAGGAAGCAGCTGCAGGAGCTAAATGGGCAGCACCAGCAGGAACTGGCCTGTCAGTTGACTCAGTTCAAGGTGGAAGCGGCAGAGCGAGAGGAACGGCAGCAGCAAGTGGCTCAGGACTATGAGCTCAGGTCCTGGTCCCTGGCGTCTCCCTCTTAGGCCACAGCCCCTTGCCAGGAGTAGCACCAAAGCAATGTCGCTGTCCTCTGTTCAGTGGACCCCAACTCCTTTTAGAATTTCAACTGACCTTCTGTGCTGGCTTTTCCTAGTCCCCATGTCTCTGCTTTTCTAAAGACCCAAGTCAGATCTCCCTCTTTTCTTCAGACTGGCCCGGGAGCAAGCCCGAGTGCGAGACCTGCAGAGTGAGAACCAACAGCTAGAGGAACAGCGGGTGGAGCTGATAGAACGACTCCAAGCCATGCTACAAGCCCATTGGGATGAGGCCAGTCAGCTGCTTAGCACCACTCACCCGTCTCCCAATGCACCGGTACGCTTGGTCTCCGCGCCTCAGACTCACTGTGCACAAGGTTCTTGCTGTGTCCTGGACTCCCTCCCGAGGAGGGCATGTGTCACTGAGGGCCTTCTTGGTAGCCTTCCGGACATTTCGTTTTAGCAAATGCTTACAGTGAACGTTTAAATTGTTGTCTCTGTTTTGCTTCTGTAACAGTGCTGCAGAAAATATTAATATATACCTGTGTGTAAGTATATACAGAAAAGAATCTGGAGGTTGAATTGTAAGATACAAATAATCAAGAATGTTATAATTTACCACTATTCATTTCCAAAACGTTCATCACCCCAGACAGAAACTCAGTACTCATCAAGTAATAACTCCTTGTTCCCTCCTTCCCCCAGCCTGTGGTAGCCACTAATCTACTTTCTATCTTTATGCAATTGCCTTTTCTAGATTCTTCATATTGGTAAACTTATACATGTCTTTTTAGTTGTCTAGCTTATTTCATTAGCATGTTTTCAGGTTCCATCCATGTTGTTACATGTGTTAGAAATGAATTTCTCCCTATGGCTAAGGCATATCCTTGTATTCTTTATATGTATCATAAGACCTGGTTGTGCTGTTGGATAAGCTCTTGGCTGCTAACCAGAAGCTCAGCGGTTCAAACCTACTAACTGCCCTGTCAGAGAAAGATGAGGCTGTCTGCTCCCAGAGAGGTTTACAGCCTCGGCAACCCTCGCTAGTGTTTCTCTGAGGCAGAGTGAAGTCAAGGGAGTACGTGTAGTATACGTTTTGTTTATCGTTTCATCTGTTGATGGGCACCTGTATTTCTCACCTGTTGGCTGTTGTGCTTATGCTGCCTGAGCACTTGTGTTCACGTCTCTACTTGAGGCTCTACTTTCAGTTCTATTGGGTACATATGCAGGAGTGGAGCCGTTTGGTCATGGAGTAATTCCAACTTTCTGAGAATTGCCAAACTTTCCATCGTGGCTGCACCACTGACATTTCTATCAACGATACATGAGGATTCCAGTTTATCCACATCCTTGTCAACACTTGTTACTTTCTGATTGTCGGCACTGTTTTTTTTTTTAATTTATAATAATACTCATTCAAGTGGGTGTGAAGTGGTATTTCTTAGTGGGTGTATTTTCTTTTTCTTTTTTTTTTTTTCAGTAAAACAAAATATATAACAAAACATTTGCCATGTCAACATTTCCTAACTATCACAGGGAAAAAAGAGAGTTTCTACTCCCGTAAAGAGTTCCAGGCTTGGAAACCCACAGGACCAGTTCTGTAGGTCCCCTGTGAGTTGGAATGGACTGGGTGGCAATGAACTTGGTTTGGGGTTTTGTTGAACATTTAAAGTCATGCTGGTGGTAATGAGCAGCCCCGTTGACTCCGTGGTTCAGCTGCTAACGGAAAGGTCTGTGGTGTGAATCCACCGGCCGCTCTGAGAGAGAAAGATGAGCAGTTGCTTCTCTAAAGATCATGGCCTTGGAAATCGTATGAGACAGCTCTACTATGTCCTCCTATGGGTTCACTGTGAGTTGCATTCGACTTGATGCAACTTTGTTGTTTTTCAACTTTGGACACGTTATCAGGAGAGACCATCATGCTTGGTAAAGCAGAGGGGCAGCGAAAAAGAGGAAGGGCAAGGGGCAAGACTGGTGGACACTGACTGCAGCAGTGGGCGCAAACATCAGAACAGCTGTGACGGTGGAGCAGGGCTGGGCAGTGCCTGTCCCCTGCACACAGGCTGACAGTGAGTCGGAGCCCACGCCGCAGCTCCCAGCAGCAACCGCCATGTCTTACCCGTTGGCCATTTATATCTTCTTTGAAGAAACAGCTATTCAAATTGTATGCACAGTTTTTAATTGGGCAGGGTTTTTGTTTTGTCTTTTTAATTAATAAATCATTTTATTGGGGGCCCTTACAGCTCTTATAACAATCCATGCATCAGTCCATACACAGTCAAGCGCATTTGTACATTTGTTGCCATCAGCATTTTCAAAGCATTTTCTTCCTACCCGGGCCCTTGGTATCAGCTCCTCTTTTCTCCCTCCCTCCCCCACCCTCGTTTGTTTTTTTGTTGTTGTTCTTTATATATTTTGGATCCTAGACTCTTACCAGATACATGATTTGCAAATATTTCCCTCCATCCTTTTTACTTTTTTGAAAATGTCCTTTGATACATAAAATGTTCAAATTCTTATTAGGTCCACTTTTTAATTTTGTTGCTTGGATAGAGGTGTCATATCTAAGAACTCATTGCCAACTCCTGACCTTGACCCTACGCTTTATTTTAGGAATTTCATGTTTTAGTGTTGATAGTTCCCTCCCTTGCCCATTTTCAGTTAGTGCCATATACGATGTGAGGGGGTGTCCCACTGCCCTCTCTCTCTGAGCTGTGGGAATGCAGGTGCCCCAACACGACTGCCCGAAGAGACTGTCCCTTCCCTGTTGAGTGGACTTGCAACCTTGTCAGTAATCAGTTGACCATAAGTGTGTGGGTTAACTTCTTAGCATTTTAATAAGAATTGTATGGAATCTGTAGATTGCTTAGGGTTATATTGACATTAAAGACTATTAAGTCTTTTACTCTATGAACAGGGAATATGTATATATTCAACTCCTTTCATTCCTTTCAGCATTGTACTATAATATTCAGTAGACAAATTTTTCTTCTCCTTGGTTAAATGTATTCCTGAGTATTGTATTCGTTTAGAGCCTATTGTAAATGTAATTGTTTTCTTAATTTCCTTTTCAGATTGTTTATTGTGGCATATAGAAATACAAGGGACTTTTATGTATCGGTATTATACCCTGCCACTTCTGCTGAATAGATTTATTAACTGTAATGTTTATGTGTGTGTTTAAGATTTTATATATATATGGGGGTCATTTATTTTGCAAATAGAAAAATATTTACTTTTAAATTTGAATCCCTTTTAATTTTATTTTCTTGCCTAATTGCTCTGGCTGGAGCTTCTGGTGCAACAATGAGTAGCAGTGGTAAAAGCAGGTAGCGAGTTTTGTTCCTGATTTTAGGGGGTAACTTTGTCTTGCAACACTGAGTATGATGCTAACTTTGGGGTTTCATTAATGCCCTTCATTATGTTGAGGTTTCTTTCTACTCCTAGTTTGTTGAATGGCTTTCTCAATATAGGATGGTGAGTTGTGTCAAAAATCTTTTCTCTATCAATGGAGATGGTAGTTTTTATATTTTTGCCTTTGTTCTGTTACTGTGGTATATTACATTGATTAATTTTCTTATGTTGAACTACCCTTGAATTCCTGTGCTATATCACACTTGGATATAAGTTTTTTTAAAAAATACACTGCTGGATTCAGTTTGGTAGTATTTTAAAAAATATATTTTGTCTTTATACAGACATTGTTCTAGTTTTCTTTTCTCATGGTATCCTCTCTGACTTGGGTGTCAGAGCCTCCTGACTGATTCTTTTTTCTGCCTCTTTCTTCTACACAGGTGCCTACCACCAGGCCCTCCAGTCCTGGGCCTCAGGAGCCAGAGAAGGAGGAGAGGCGGCTCTGGACTGTGCCTCCGGTGGCCGTGGCCTTGAAGCCTGTGCTGCAGCAGGGTCGGGAGATCAGGGATGAGCTACCTGGAGTGCCGCCCGTCCTCTCTAGTCCTTCCCCAGATCTTAGCCTCCTGCTGGGTCCCAGTTTCCAAAGTCAGCATTCCTTCCGGCCTCTGGAACCAAAGCCAGATCTTACTCCACCCACAGGTAACGAGGGACAGACAGCAGCCCTTGGGGTTCACCTTATATCCAAGAATGGCCTCCCTCTTACCTAGCTGCTTCTCTGTGTGGGACTTCAGCATTTCGTTTCTCAGATCTCTTAGTGATGTTACAAATAGCAGATACTCAAAAGTAGTTTCAATAAGGGGAGGGAGATTGTTATGGAACTGCGATGCGAGGGGCTTACCAAGACTTAGAGTTAGTCACGGGATGCCCCTGTCTCCGGGTCTGCCTGGTCTTTTCATTCTGCCTGTCCCTGCATAGTATGCCTTTCTCGTGGGAAACCAGCATGCTGTGCTCACTCAAGGTTATTGCTCCCTTGCTCCACATAAGTTTGGCCAGCCATGCCACTTACTCCATCCCAGACCCTGAAACTGCATTGAGACACTGGTGTCTGCATGTCTTAGATCCGATTTAAAGAGAGGCAATGGGTTGATAGCCATCACCGGACTGGCTAACCTTTGGTGTGGTTTCCTCTGCTGGTTGGTCGGCTCCGATATGGGTGGGTGTGGGGTATTACATTATGGCACAAATGTGACTCTAGGTGGGATCAAGAATGATATTAATTAAAAAATTTTAAACTACATAATAGTTTTTAAAGTATGAGAACATGTACTAATGAAGGTCCAAACCTCTCTATGAATCCCAAAGTATTCTGGATATTGATTTCTGTTCTTTAAGGAGTTTGTGGTTGTGTTTATTTAGAGTCTGGTGACGGCAGCTTTCCCCTTCTGCCTACTCTGTCTTAGAATCGATCTGTGCTACTTCCTAGTCACCATCGACTCTTCCTTCTCCAGAATTTGAAACATCCATTAGTTTCTCGTCTTTGCTGTGATGTCTCTTATGTAATGGGTCTCTTTTCCTGGACGCTCGTGAGGCACCCCTTACAGCATCTGTGTTGCACATGTACGCTACACGGGCTCTTTTAGCACCCATATAGTTATCTCACTTTCAGTCCCCGATGGCGCTGTGGAGCAGGCAGTGGGCTGCTAACCACAAGGGGGCCGGTTCAAACCCTCAGCTGCTCTGCTAGCGAAAGACAGAGCAACTTGCTCCTGTGGAGATGCAGTCTCAGAAACCTTATACAGAGCCACCATGAGTCACAGTCGGCGCAGTGGCAGGAGGCTTGGCGTGGGTTTATCACACCTTACAGCTGGAGCCCGCTCCTCTGCAGGTGGGGCCTTTGATCCTGATCACAGGGCAGAGCATCCGTTTCCTGAAGAAGATTCTAGAATCGATGAGGATGGCTTCCTAAAGCAAGGGCTGCCACCTCCTCAGCTACATGGTCTTAAGCACTTTTTGCAGCAGGTAAGGGAGTGCCCATTCAGGCCACTGTTGTCCCCTTCCTTGGTTCCTCTTGCTACTCAAGGATCTAGGGCTCTGGCTTCGTTCCCTTTTCTACGATTAATACTTTGTTCCCGCTGCTGACTCTCCCAGTCCATCTTCTTGCTGCTCCAGGATTCCCTTCTGGATCCAAGGCAACCAACTCTAGCTCTGACGTCACCAGCCTCTACTTCCCTTAGACACAGCTCTTGACCAATGCTAGAGGGCCTTTTCTCTCCCCAGCTGCTGGAGGCCGTCCCCCAGAACAGTGTGAACGCCTCTGTGGACCTGTTACCCCCTAGGTCCGGTGAGTTCCCACTCTGAGGAAAGGTGGGCTGGGGCCTGGAAAAGATGGGAATTGGAATGGGTATTCAGGTGAATTTTCAGATGCGGACAAGGGTCATAAAGCCTAATAAATGTTAGAGAGGTAGAGCTTCCTTGGCTCTTCAACCCAGTGGCTCATTCTTGAATCTGCGGCCTTTTGCTAGGTCCTCTGACGGTTCCGTCTTGGGAGGAAGCCTCTCAGGTGCCACGCCTTCCACCTCCTGTCCACAAAACTAAAGTTCCCTTAACCATGGCGTCTAGTCTCTTCCGGGTACCAGAGCTTCCTTCAACCCATTCACAGGGCAGTGTTCCCACTGGTGGCTCCCCGGAAAGAGGTAAGCCACTCGTGGTTTCCTGGGTCAGGAGCCAGAACCGGAGCTTCAGGAGGCCTCGGAGGGAGCGGGATGAGGCCGGGAGAGCAGCCCCACGGTGGTGCGCATATTTCTCTCTCTCTCTCAGGGGGTGACGGGCTACCGACCCCGAGGCAGCTGATGGAAATGTCTCAACTGTTGCGACTGTACCAGACTCGGGGCTGGGGGACCCTGCCTGCTGAAGATCTGCTGCTCTACCTGAAGAGGCTGGAACCCAGCGGGTACAAGCCAGGGAGCGAGGGGCAAGGGCTGCGAGCCGCAAATGTGGGTTGTGTGGAGGGAAATGGATCCGTCGGGGTGGGAGTGGAGGGTCTTGTTCGCCGAGAAGAAAGAGAAAGGAGATCGAGATCAAACAAATCTCTCCTTTTCCTGCATCTCACTGCTCTGCACCTCTTACGTCTTCCTCTTCATTGCTTTCGTAAGAAAAGGAGGTACGATCCGTGTAGCATCAAATGAAGCCAACCATTGCATCCATTCACAATCTTTCGTAACTCCCACCTCTAGTTTTGAAACATTTTCCTCCCCTCAACACCTCCCTAAGCAGTTATTCCCCCTCCCTTCTCCCTAGTCAGCGTCTTCGTGTCTCTGGGTTTACCTGTGCTGGGAGCTCCTGGGAACGGAGTCCCACCATGTGACCTATGACATCTGACTTCTTTCACGCAGCATCGTGTGTTCAGGTTTGTCTCTGCGTGGCACATATCAGAACTGCAGTTTAATAGTTCTCAGAACGTGCCCAGTAAGACATGCACCCGGTGAGCAGGTGCTCGTGCCCGGTTCAGGAACACTGATGACGTTCTAGAGCTTGTGCAGCGCGCCGCCTGTCTGTCTGCGTCCTCCTCCTCAGGAGCAGACTCCGCCTGTTCCCGCCGTCTCCGCGGATCTTCAATTCGATGACATCCAGATGGTCTTGAAGGAGCACAAGGCTCACAGCAGACCTTGCTTATTCAATGAAACGGTGTTGCATTTAAGTTGCCTTCAGGGAATATTTTTGGTTTGAGCTTTAAAGATATCAAGGGGTCATTTAGCCTCCAAGGCTCCAGAAAATCTGGAATTGATAGAAATTTGAAATTTTCCTACATTTTCCCTTTTAAAGAAGGATTCTTTTTTAAAATCATTTTATTAGGGGCTCATGCAACTCTTACCACAATCCACACACACATCAATTGTGTAAAGCGCATTTGTACACTCATTGCCCTCATCATTCTCAAAACATTTCCTCTCCACTTAAACCCCCGGCATTAGCTCTTCATTTCCCCCCTCCCTCATGAATCCTTGATAGTTTATAAATTGTTATTTTGTCATATCTTGCCCTGTCCAACGTCTCCCTTCACCCACTTTTCTGTTGTTTGTTCCCCTGGGAGGAGGTCACATATAGTTCCTTGTAATCGGTTCCCCCTTTCCAACCCACTCTCCCTCTACGCTCCCAGTATCGCCACTCACACCACTGGTCCTGAAGGGATCATCTGCCCTGGATTCCCTGTATTTCCAGTTCCTATCTGTACCAGTGTACATCCTCTGGTCTAGCCAGACTTGCAAGGTAGAATTCGTGTCATGATAGTGGGAGCGGGGAGGAAACATTTTGGAACTAGAGCAAAGTTGTATTTTTCATCGTTGTTACATCGCACCCTGACTGGCTCATCTCCTCCCCGAGACTCCTCTGCAAGGATTCTTATATAGAATTGTTGATCAAAATGTATAACTTCATTCACATTTTATGACTAACTTATTTTTCCATTGTGTGGCTACCATTTACCCATTCATGGAATTTGAATAGTGTTTTCTACAGCGTTTTCTTCTTTTAAACATGAATGAACGATCTCTTCTCCACAGCTTTCTACTTTTTCTTTTTTCTCTTTATCCTGTAACTCAGAGTCTTCAGATTTAAATTCTCTAGTACAGCTCCTTCTTTTAATGTACGTATGCCTCCTGGCCTTTCATCCTGGGTCTTTGTTGTTTGCTCTTATCTTTTTAAAGTTTTTATCAATAATTTTATTGGGAGTTCTTACAGCTCTTATAAGAGTCCATACATCAATTGTATCAAACACATTTGTACATATGTTGCCATCATCATTTTCAAAACATTTTCTTTCTGCTTGAGCCCTTGGTATCAGCCCCTCTTTTTTCCTTCCCTCCCCATGGGTCCCTGGTAAATGATAAATTATTATTATTTTCATATCTTGCACCATCCACTGTCTCCCTTCGCTCATGATTCTGTTGTTGTACCCTATTGTAGTCGGTTTCCCCCTTCTCCCCCACCTTCCCCTACCCTCGTGGTATCTCTACTCCCATTACTGTTCCTGAGGGGCTTATCTGTCCTGGATTCTGTGGGTCAAGAGCTCTCGTCTGAACCAGTGCCCATGCTCTGTTCTAGCTGGATTTGTAAGGTAGGGCTGGGGTGCTCCTATTCTTAGGAGACAGAGTTGGGTAGAAGGGGGAATAGCTCCCCTACTCATACCTTTGATTTGTGTGGCAGGGCTGATGGCCAAGGAGATAATGTCCCCCGAAGGAACACCGACTCCCGCTTGGGTGAGATCCCCCGGAAAGAGGTGAGGGACTGGTGGGCAGGGACCAGGGGGTAAAAGACGCTCACTGACTCGTCCTCTCAGCTGTCCGTACTTCCCGCCTGGTTGTACTCCTCCGCCCCTGCCCTCCAACTTCTCTTCCCGTGTTGTATGCTCCTTTGCCTGTGGTGATCGTTGGGGCTCCCTCGCTGCACTGTCTTCCCTCCGCGGAGCTGGGGGGTTGAGAGGATACTGACGTTTTTCTCCCACCCCACCCCCCCACCCCTCAGATTCCCCCCCAGGCTGTCCCTCGTCGCCCTCCCACAGTCCCTAAGACTGACAAACCTCCAGGAAGGAAGAGAAGCGGGCATCCTGCTCCCGGTAGCGTGAGGAGTCGAGGCGGGGTCTGGCGATAGCTCTCTTCTTTGTTGTATTATGAGTTCAGCAAATGTTTGCTAGTCTATAGTAGAGTCTCTGACTCATGGGAATTTGGAAAAAGGAAACAACTTTGTAAAGAAAAGTGGAAACTCCTTTTGTAGGCAAGTACTTTGTAAAGAACCTTTCATTCTGTTTGTGTGTGTGTTTTTAAGTGTTTTATTCTGTGGCCAGAGACTTGCCTGGCGTCTGATAGACTGTAGACCTTTGAAGGAGCTAAGGGTGACTGTGTAAAGGGTAATATCTGGTTGATGTGAAATGATGGAAGATATTTATTTTCTCGTGTACATTTCTGTATTTTCTGAATTTTCTAAAGTGGCTTTAATAATCAGAAAAAAAGGAACTTTTAATAAAGTGCTATGTTAGTGTATAAAAATTTTGAGTCCCTATTTGATAGTTCAGAAAGTGTTTTTTTTTTTAATCATTTTATTGGGGCTCATACAAGTCTTATCACGATCCATACATACATCAATTATATAAAGCACATTGGTACATTCGTTATCCTCATCATTCTCAAGACATTTGCTCTCCACCTAAGCCCCTGGCATCAGCTCCTCACTTTTCCCTTCCCTCCCTGCCCCCCTCCCTCCTGAACCCTTGATAATGTATAAATTATTATTTTGTCATCTCTTGCCCTGTCCGACGTCTCCCTTCACCCCCTCCTCTGTTGGAGGAGGAGGTTTTCTCTGTGGAAAGCGTGAGCTCTTCTCACTCCCACTCCGCACAGGTTCTGCTACAGCCAGAGACGCGTCCACGCTAAGTCTGCACTGGCCTCCGGCCCTGACACCTATGAAAAAGCCCAGAGCGCTGGAGAAAAAGAAAAGCCATGTTTGCCCCAATTCCATCCTAAGACTCACCAAAATGAGCAGATCTTACAGGAGAAAATACATCCCCTTGACTCCAAGAAAAGGCCCCCACCCTCCCAGTCCCCACTCGGAGAAGCAGAGCAGGATTAGAGGGATTTACACGTGACCCCACACAGCTCTCAAGGTGGTGATGCTGAAAATAGTTCCTTTGGAAGGGCTTGTCCTAGATGGTGTATTGGATTTGGATGAGGGGGTGGGGGAGAGGAGACTCCTTTATTTGTTGCTATGAGTGGATTTACATCTGAATAGGCTATAGACTTACCCACAGTGTTTCACATGAATGAACTTTTAGGTTCTTAGACTGTGACCTGATTGATAGGTTGGACTCTACCCATATCGTCTTACAGGTACAAAGTTAGCACAAAACCATTGCAATGAAGACACTTGAGTGCAGTACATCCATCCCTAGGGGTGTTCCCCAGGCAGTTCCTGCCTCTGCACCGAAGGCTGAGCACGAGAAGGTGCACAGGTGAATGATCACGGACAGCATTGCGAATGGGCGCACTAAAGCTACGTGCATTGATAAGGACGAATGTCCTAAACATGCTGAGTGAAAATGTTATAGAAGAAAATAGATGGTATTCTGTAAGTTCAGAAATACACACAAGGCACTTCAATCCAACATGGGTTTTGGGAGCCTGAGCAGCGTAAAGAGAGGGAGGGCCACAGGGAATGGACCCTGGCTCAGAGTACTGGAGGGGCAGGAGCATGTCCATTTGGTAAGTTGGTCTAGCAAGGTGTTACAGGATGGGTCAGGTGACGCAAGAGCGTGTCCATTGGGTAGGGTGTTCTGGTGCTGACAGGTGCTGGAAGATTGTTACATAACAAGAAGACTAATCAGACATAAGAAGAATGAGATCTAACAGACAATGTACTAAAGATTACATCCAGGTGGCCGGCAATCATAGGAAGAAACTTTTGTGTTCATTAGCCAGAAGAAAAACACAAATTAAAACAATAATGGAAAACACATAAATAAAACAATAATGAGACACCGCCTTACACTGACACTCTTAGCAAATGATAAATGCTGGGGAGAATGTGGAGAGATTGAGTTGCTCATACATTGCTGTGGGATTGCAGAATTGCACCACCACTATAGAAAACAGGATGGTGCTTCCTTCAACAAATGCAATGACAATACCTTATGATCCTGCAATCTCTCTACTTGGTATATACATTAAAGAAATGAACAAAACATCTATCTAGATAAGATAGGAGGAGAAAACAATGGGACCGACAGCTCTGGGGAGACAATGGGAGAAGGGGAGACTGATGAAAGGAAGAGGTGTTAACAAACCCAGGGACAAGGGAACAACAAGTGATCCAAATTGGTGGTGAGGAGGGTGTGGGCGGCCTGGTAAGGCATGATCAAGGGTAATGTAACCAAGAGGAATTGCTGAAACCCTGGTGGGGACTGAGCATGATAGTGGGACAGGAGGAAAGTCAAAGGAAA